GCACTGGTCTGAGAGCAGAACGCTTGTGAATCGCTTCCAGGTCACAGGGCGATGAGTCAGTGTGCCCCTGTCTCCTGGCCCAGCAGCCAGGGAGACCAAGTTCTCCAAGATGTCCACACAAGATGAACACGCCCCGTAAGCAAGGTAGAGCCAGCCTCGACTGGCCGGGCCCACTGAGATTTTGGAGTTCATGTGTTCCTGCCTTGCTAACCAGCACAGCCGTTGGTGGAGGAGAAATAAATCTGTATTTCTGCGCTCTTGGGGAATGGCAGACGGTAAACGCTGCCATTGAAGGAGTCCTCCAGGAAGCTCTCTTGTATGTGAGAGGCCCCACGGCCATCCCGAGAAGCCAGTGAGCTGTGCCCTAAAATCATCTCCTGGAGACTTTTCAAATGGGTTCCCGTGAGCAACTTCAGGGAGGGAAGGACCACTCCTGGGCAAGAGCTGTGGATGATGGCAAGGGCGGTGTCCTGGATCATCACAGGTTAGCGGAGGTGACCTCCTGGATCATCACAGGTTAGCGGAGGTGACCTCCTGGATCATCACAGGTTAGCGGAAGTGTCCTCCTGGATCATCAGAGGTTAACAGAGTTTTCCTCCTGGATCATCACAGGTTAACGGAGGTGTCCTCCTGGATCATCAGAGGGTTTTTTTGTTTTTTTTTTCCGGGTAGGGTGGTTAAGTTGCTATGAGGTTACGCGCTGAAAATAACCAGCCTTCAGAATTGGCAGACGTCAACCAAGTGTCGCTGGGCCAAAGCTAGGGTTGATTTTGCTCCTTATACATGGGATGAACATATGATATTGTATTATATGTGTTGTCTCTAACACATATTATATATAGTATGGTATATGTAATACACATGATAACATAATACATGATATAAGTAATATCTAATACATACATTTTTGTGTCGATCGCGGGCTTAACTTTGGGGTCTGGGCACCGTCCCTGAGTCGCTCAAAGCTAGCCCTCTACTACAGCACCACTTTTCTGGTTTTCTGGTGGTTACTTGGAGATAAGAGTCTTCCTGACTTTGCTGCCCAGGCTGGCTTTGAACCACAATCCTCAGATCTCAGCCTCCTGAGTAGCTAGGATGACAGGCGTGAGCCCCCAGTCCCCAGATCCTCTGCCTTCTTGTTTGGGGGTGTGTAGCTGGCCCCCAGTGGGTTCAGTGAGATCGGGCCTACAAGTACTTCATATCATTCCCGAGGACTAGTTGTTGAAACACGTTGGAGAGAACTGCACAGTATGGAAATTCTAACTCCCCAGCACGCACCCTTCCTTTCTCGATGTGTTTGTAATTTCAGCAAGTCTGTGACCTAAACGGGATCTGTTCCCCCCACACACACACCCCGCAGCTCCTCCAACCTCCCGTGCATTCGGGCAAAGCCCCGTCGCGTCTGTTCCCTGTCGGCCGCCACCAGCTCCTCCCCCAGCCACACTGATTACCCAAGGGCCTCCTTAACTGCTGTCTTTGCTTCCAACTTTACCTTCGTCCAAACCACGCTTACTATTTCTGCAGAGGACATCTGAAAATTCAAACCAGATGGTCATTCCCTGGCTAGCGCCCTTCCTGTCGCTCCTTAGCCCTCTATAAAAAGCCAAGCCCAGATCCTTGGTCAAGATCCACAGACCTCTCGAGAGAGGACCCTACACAGCTGGGTCCTGTGCTACATCATCACCTTCCTACTACAGCAGTGCCCCTTGGGAACACGCATGCGCTAACTCTAGAACTCTCTCCCCAGTCTTCCTCCTCCATTAGCTTATGGAATTTTTTTTTTTGGTGTCCATATTGGGGCTAGAACTCCAGGCCTCATACTGTCATTCAGTTTTTGTCATGCATGACTGGCATTCTACCACTTAAGCCATGACTCCACTTCTGACTTTTTGCTGGTTTAGTTGAAGATCAGAGTCTCTCTCAGAGTTGTCTGCCTGGGTTGGCTTCCAACCTTGATTCTCCAAGCTCAGCTTCCTGAGTAGCAAGAGTTACAGGTGTGAACCACTGGTATCTGGTGGACATGTGTTCTTAAAGGGAGTGTATCTTATTTGTCTCTATATGTTTCTTTCTAAAAGAACTGGAAATGTGGAAGGAAGGATGGAGATGATGGATGGGTGGATGATTGGTCGAATGGATGGATGGATGGATGGGATGATTGGTTGAATAGATGGATGGATTGGTTGAATGGATGGGTAGATGGGTTGATTGAATGGTCTGATGGACAGATGGATGGATGGGTGGATGAATGGATGGATGGGTGGATAAATGGATGGATGATTGGTTGGGTGGATGGATGATTGGTTGAATGGATGGATGGATGGTTGGATGGGTGGGTGGGTGGGTGAGTAGATGGTTGGTGGGATGATGGATGGGTGGATGATTGGTTGAATGGATGGATGGATTGGTTGAATGGATGGATGAATGGATGGATGGATGGATGGATGGATGGGTGGGTGGGTGGGTGGGTGGGTGGGTGAGTAGATGGTTGGTGGGATGATGGATGGGTGGATGATTGGTTGAATGGATGGATGGATGGATGGGTGGGTGGGTGGATGATTGGTTGAATGGATGGATGGATGGGTGGATGGAATGATGTACAGGGTGGCTGTGTGAATGAATCTACCATTGGCTGTTTGAATAGCTGCATGAGTGGATAGTTGGATGGATGGAGAGTTGAATGGATAGATTAATGGATGGCTGGATGTATTCAACAAAGTCACAAGCACTTCTAATTGTATTTACCCACTCATGTGTGCCCAGGATGGGCCCCACAAAGATGAGGCTCTGTTTTCTGACACTTCCCAGTACAGATGGAAAAACAATATGACTGTTCAACTCAGCAGCCCACGGGGTTTGGCCTTCAGGCTCCTCCATTGTGTCCGTCAGGAATGTTGCAAGGTGCTGTGGCTCTTCGGGAAGAGGGAGGGGATTCCTGGCCGAGCCTTGTCCTGTCCCGGCCCACGTTCCTGCCTGCGACCTCCTCAGATCTGCCTTCCTACAGCCCTGCGTTCTATCCAGGAATCCGAGTTTCACTCCCGGCCTGAACCGTGGCCAGAGATCTCCACCTCTGGCCTGAGGGTCACAGAGCGGCAGTTGGCACAGGCCGGGCCCCATAGCTGTGGCCTGAGGCCAGGCCTTCCTTTGCCTCCCAGAAGAGAACCTCGCATCGCCCTTCCTCTTCCCGCTTTGTGGAGCCTCCCCCCCCCAGAAGTGTGTCCTGCATGGCCTTGAGCCTCTGCTGGCTTGCCAGGTGCACGCTCACACCGGCCTGCTCACCAGGCCCCTGCAGCCCGGAAGCACAGTGCCAGGCCTCTGGGAGGAGCCCGAGCAGGAGTGCCAAGGCCCTGAGGCCTGGGCGGGGAGGGAGCAGAGAGCCCGGGCAGGCCACCCCACAATCCTCGCTCGGGGTCCAACGGGCTGCAGGCCTGAGTGGCTAGATTTGGGTGTTTTTATTTTTGGTCCAGCCACAAATGCCGGCCACGCGATGAGAATGACTCCTTCCCTTCCCATGGCCTCCGAGCCCGGCCTGGCGTTATTTTTAGCTCTGACTCTGGTTTGGGGCTTTTAGCCCACGCACGCCCTTGTCCTGCCACGGCGGCCGCGGGGCCGGCGAAGTTTTGCCAACCATGGAGTTGGGAGTTGGATGTGATTCATGCCAGGCTTTCTACAGGACAGCAGAGGGGGGGTCAGCTGCCCCAGGCTGGCCTCACCTGGGGGGGGGGCCGTGTCCCGCGCCTGAATCCGGCCCAGACTCACTTCCCCTTTGCTCAGATTTCTCAGCTCTGTGATTGGGAGGAAGGGAGCTCATCTAACCAGACATATTCCATCCATTCTAGCTGGAAACACTTACCCAGCCTGCCAAGGGCTTTCTTTCTGCTCTAGAAACTTCCGGGGCTGTGAGGTGTGTGCATACAGAGTGATTTCGGGTTCCCGTGCAGAGGGAGAGTGCCTTGCACTAGCCAGGCTAGAAATAAACGCGGGGACCGAAGGACGGGCCCTCTGGCCTTGCACCCCAGAGGCCTCTTAGGTGACTCGGGGCGTCACCAAGCCTCAGGGTCCCTGGGCATCCACGCAGGGCCAGCTCCGCGGGCCCACACCTCACGCCCAGGGCCCCCAATCCCGGGGCCTATCTCTTGATCAGTCCCATCAGGGACCGCGCCGGGGAAACTACCACGCTTCCCCTCAGGTCTGGCTGTATCACGCTCGCTCCGTAATACCTGGGACGCCTCGCTGCTTCTCTGGACCCGTGGAGACATTTCCTGTCCTTTTTGAAATGAGAAGGGGAAGCCTGGACTTGGAGGTTGAAAGACGGGCGCGTCGTGTGATATAAATATGTTTGCTTTTCGGGAAACCTCTTGTGGAGAAAGCGGTGCAGAAGGCAGAAGCAACCCCCCCCCTGCCCAGGGCCGGCGGGGTCACGGCGCACGCAGCCCTGCCGTGGCCCAGAAAGCCAGCCTGGCAGGCGCGGCACTGCGTCCCCATCCTTCCACCCATGGTGACACACCCGCCCTCAGCTCCGTTCCTATAGCAACGGCCATCTGCTCCTGTCAGTGTCAGTCGCATGGAGAACTTGGAACGTTTTCCCCGGTATTTAATCTATGCCTCACATGGCGGTCCTTCACCATCACCCGGTGATAACTCCGCAGCAGCACCCGTGGTGAGACACGGTCCAAAGTTTTGTCTGCGGTCCTGGTCGGGGGAAATGTGCTGCGATCAACTACTGATGTCTGTCTCAGACTTGGGACAGCGGAGGAGAAGCACAGCATGCACGCGGGGTTTGTGCTGAGGACTGACCTTAGCCTTCCGTGCCCGGCTGCACCATCGGCTCCACCAGGGTGGCATAGGGAGACACACCCACACCACACATACACAGACACGCGGGCGCATACACACACACACACACAGGTCCAGACTTTCTGGGGGTCCCGGATTGATTGTTGATGCCTGCGTGCGATTTCGTGCTCTCTTTGACGTCTTTCCAATCTTCTCTCCCCCGGCAGGCGCCTGAACAAGAATAAGCTCCAGGTTCTTCCAGAATTACTCTTCCAGAGCACACCGAAGCTCACCAGACTGTGAGTACCGCTGACTTATTCACGCTCTTTCGCTTGGACCTTGCCGGACTTTGGTGTTCTGCTCCAGGGCCACCTGTGTGTGTGGCACCTGTGATGTACAGAGCCTGCCAGTGAGGCCCTGGCAGGGAGGCTCAGACCGGGGCTCCGGCGGTGTGGAGGATGTGGCGTGGAGGCCCGTGTATTTTGTTCACTGCCTTGGTGACTGTTGAAACGGTTCGTGTCCTTGCTCGCTTCCTGCCGTTGCCAGGACTCCGGGTCTTGAGGTCTGTGGTTTGGTAGAGAAAGGAATGCGTGACTCCTCGGGTTTTGTTTTAGCTTCCAGAGCGTTTCAGAAGACCGCAGAGGGGAGGAGCCGGCAGTGCCCCGTGCGTTGGTTCACGGGGGAGCTGGAGATGAGGGTGGTGGTGGACATGGGGGCTCACATTGCGGGCGTCATCAGCAAGTCCTGATTCCCCACCGTGCACGGCTCCATGACGGAGGCCCGGGTTCTCGGTCCTCGTGGTCTCTGGGGGTCACGGGGCATGCCTGATCCCGGGTTGCTGACCCTCTGAATGGTGCCAGACAGGCAGGAAGACCTCTAGGGTGGAAGGCTCTTAACATTCCCAGTGAGGCCCTGGTGTCGTGGTCCACGCTTCCTCTCTGTGGCCGGGTCTAAGGCCTACTTAGACAGTCAAAGCAACACATGGAGGTTCTGGAAAGAACTGGAAAACACCAAACAGATGTCAGTGTGCGCCCTTCGAATGATCTTCCAAGTCAGGAGCACAGATGTACATATGTGTCTCTATGCACGCACGTGAACACACACACACAGAACCGTCCACCACGAGCAGGGTTCCAGTAGACTGGCAGTCCTGCTTGCTTCTGTCCCTGCCACGCCCGCCAATGTATCTGGGCGTCGTCCTGGGTGACTGCTAGAAACGGCCCTCCCGGATGGGCACGCGGTGCAGTGCCCAACACACCCAAAGTGGGTGATCCAGGTGCCACCGATTTATTCCTTCCCCCTTCCCCGCGCGGTCAGCCCTCAGCTAGGGTCTGAATTTGGTGATAGCCAGATGCCCGGAGGCCCGGTCCCCCGAATGACACGGCGCGATGGTAACATGTAGGGCTGCGCATTCTCTCCTGTGCTTTAAGTCGTGTCTCGATTGCCTACGGTACTCACGGCAGTGTGAGTGCCCCCCCCACCTCACTTCCGTTTCTAGGCAGGGCAGGCTGGGGAGGGGGTCTCTGGGGGGCACGAGGGCTGGATGTGTGTGCTCCGGCGGCTGCAGGGCGTCAGGTGGGCGGTAACGGATCTCTGAGCGGCCAGGAAACTCCTGGCTTGGGTCCTACGGCCTTCCCGCTGTGCCTCGATGTATCTCCTGCAGGGGAGCCCCACCCCCTCCGTGCCCGCCTCTCCCCGCCCCACCCCCTCCCTGCCCGCCTCTCCCCACCCTGCGAGGGAGCTGCCCGTGGGATATGGGGTGCGGGTAGGATGCCAGGGTGCACCTGTGGGTTTTCTGGAGCTAGAGATGTGCGGGAGCTGACTCTTCTTACCACCTGCCGCCAGTCGCCCTTCCCAAGGGGAGGAGGGGGACCAGGAGAGAAAGGATGCTGAGCCTCGCAGGATCCCGGTTCCACTCACTTGGTGTCTGTCCTTCTCGGGGCCTCAGGCCACGCACACATGGGCCCCCGGGGAGCGCTGGCAGAACAGGGCGGAGGGGGGGGCTGATAGACGCAAGGATGCGGAAGCCCCTCACCCGGAAAGCTTTGGTTCTCGTGTTTGCCTTCCCTCCACGTAGGGCTCATCCATTCATTCGGCCCCCTGCTGGACTTGGTGTGCAGCAGGCTTTTCCCCAACGCCCCTGCCCTCCTCCCCGGGGCTCACAGAGCCCTGCACCCTGCGGGGGGACGGGCTGCCGAGGACCCTCCGGAAACCGACCGGAGCTCGGCGGAGAGAAGGAAGCAGGTGTCCGAAAATGAAGCCGGGGCCCTGGTGCCGACCCCCCGGCTCCACGCTTTCCTTCTCTGCGTGGCCTCATGAGATTCACTGTGAAGGATTGCGGGGGGGGGGGGCATGGGGTAGGAGAGAGGTGTTCGTGAACCCTAGCTGACGCTGCATTGTGAACTTGTAGGTTTGGTGATGTGCGCATGCCCAAGCCAAGGCTTCTATCCGAGATCCCAGTCCCGAAACATTGAGAGAGAGAGATTTTACTGCTTTGAACATATGCTAGCCAGCGGACCGTCCTAAACTCCCCGAAAGTTCTGAGAGAGAAAGAAGAGTGGGGGAGGGAGGCTCTGCCCAGGCCGCCTGGCACATCTGGTTGGGGTTATGGCGGGGTCCATGCAGGGGTTGGGGGGGAACCACGGCTGGAATGTGAGACATCCCACAAAACACGTTTCTGAGGGGCCGCTGCCTGGAACGTGGTGCCCCACGGCCCCCCACCGCCCTGCTCAGAAGGTGGCCTCGGTGGCTTCACACGGTGGTGGCCTTTCTGGTTCAAAAGTGAGGATCCCGCGGGGGACGCTGATGCGGGGTCCGGGGTCATCTTCTGGTGCGCGTCGCTCCCACGCCACGGGCCACGGTCTCAGAGGCCCCCGTCCTGGGGGGATCTGGTCACCGAGCGCTGACCAAACCAGAGAGGCAGCGAGCGCGGTCACCACGCTGCACCGACAATGACAGTGGGGGAGGAGGGCGGGCGGGAGAGGGTCGCGGGTGAGGGCGTCAGACGGGCTTTGGTGACCTGTCCCAGGCCAGTGACGGGACACGCACGCATGTGGCCCAGCACGTGCAGCGGAGAACCTCCATGCCCAGTGTAAAGTGAGGAGACCAGGGGCGCACACAATGCAAGGCTGAGGCCTGGCACCCAGTCAGTCCTCTACTGGCGACACGCCCACGGGCTCCTGGGAAGACCGCTGCGGGGTCAGAGGCCGCCGAAACGCTGCCGACCACCTCCTGTGTGTCACCAGGGCTGTGGGGATGGCCTACTGCGTGTAGGGCGGCTGGGCACCAAACCCAGAGGTGCCAGTGTGTGTGCCCTGCCTCCCGGCTCCCGTTCGGACAGCCTTGGCTGTGCCCGACCTGTGGAGCCAGAACCACAGCCATGTCCCCCGCCTGGTCCCCGGTCTCAGCCCTCGTGGTGCGGCCTGCAACCAGGCTGGGCCTTGTGCCCCCCCACCCCGTGCTCACACGCAGAGCCGATCGCCGAGGACGGAGTCGGCGTCCACCCGCAGCACGGTGCTCTTCCTCCCTGCAGGGAGGCGTACAGCGACCGACCGGGACAGCAGGGGTAGAAGAGCAGCCTCTCCGGCGTTCCTCCCCCATCTGGGCCCGCGCCCGTCCTGAACTCCGGCAGGCATCCCCACCCGAAGCCCTTCCACGCAGCCCGCTCATCCTGCCTTTCCACCCGGCCTGTGGGAAGCTCTGGGGGAACAGGGTGGCGTTTCCACGCGCCCCATTCTAGCCTCACATCAGCTCACGTGTGGAGGAAATCTCTGTGATTCGGTCTCCCTCCCGGCTCTCCTACGGGCTCTCCAGCCTGGGTTTAACCTTCACTTCCCTCTGTAAGGTTTACAGCTCCCTTCCAAGTCCTGGGGAAGGAGTCGGGTCGTGGGAGTGTTGACACAGTATTGGTAACAGAACTACGATGACAGGGAACCGTCCAAGCTGGATGGACAGACGCCGGGACACTTGGACGGACGGGGGGGACGCTGACGTAGACTTCACGCTCCTTGCCTGAACGCGGCGTGCTGGGCCTGGGGTTTGGACCCACAGCTTGGAATGGTATTTGCACGTTTCCTTCGTGGCATGCCTCTCTCCCCGTGGTTCTCGTTCTGAGGACCGGGCCTGCCCTCCACACGGGGCCCCCGCCGGTGTGCGGCCAACGGCGCTCCCTGGCTGGCCAGCCCGAGCCCGCCTCCGCTCCGTGGCGTCACGATGCGGATAGAGCTCAGCACGTGACGTGGAGTCCCGCCCCTGCGCCCTCATTCCCGGGCAGAGGTTGCGTCCTGGTGTCATGGAGGTCATGCGGTGGCCTGGGGACAATGCTCGGCTTGCAGGAGGGTGAGCATGACGAAGCCGCCACTCCGTCTCCGTCTCCATCTCTTGGATGACATCTGTGAGCCCCCCCCCCCCGTGAGGGCCACGGTGCTCCTTGGAGATGAGGACCGGTGTTAGCTGTGTGCAGAGAGATGCGTGATGGATTCCATTCCCGTCACTGCCCTGTCTCTCACACACACACACAGCCACAATGGAGACACACATATACAATGTGCACACACCCATAACACACGCACATGACATGCTATATCACCCAGCACACACAACACACCTCACACACCTATGGCTTACCACACACAGCACACACAACACATATCACATACATACAGCATACCCCACACAGCACACGCAACACATGCATCGTGTACCACATGCATACACACACAACACAGCACAACCCATGTACCATGCCACATGCCTGTGACATGCTACACCACACGCAGACCCCCCTTCATCCCTCCCCACGCATCTGCCCACCCATGCACGGGGCCTGTCCTGTCACTCCACGTGCGTGCATGCACCACGCCACACATGCACACGCATGAGTCCTGTCTGCTGGAGTCTGCGTGTGGGTGATGCGGACCACGCTTCGGGCTCTGGTGCAGTGCACAGGGGTAGTTTCACGCTGGTGAACCTTGCCCCCCGTTTGGGGCTGAGGTGCTGGTTTTGAGGGGCGGAAGCGTTGGGGCGGGGGAGGGGCCCCAGGTACCTCGAGGCGCCGGGGTGGCTCCGTGGCCGTGGCCGGGTGTGCATGGGGCCCAGACACAGCCGCGGCCGATCTGTGTGCCAGGAGGTAAACCGTGACTGCCAATGAGCTCTGGTCTGTGTGAGAGGCACACTCACGGGTACACCCCACACGGTCACAGGCACACACGTGAGGAGGTACACACGTGTGCACAGCCACACAGCAGACACGGGAGCATGAGGAAAAACGGACGGAGAAGCAGCGGACCCGGCAGCGCTC